ATCTCACAAACACTGTTGTGAGAGGTCTAAACAGTTAGCTTCTGTTGGTAGTTTCTGAAATAGTGCCAGATACAGTTAAGCAATTACTCGGATCGGAATGACCTCAGAAGATTTCACAATATACCTCACTTAAAGATAATACTTCCGACGACAGGTATAGGCGACAGAAAAGGTCTACATGTCCGACTATAAATCAAGATCTAAATTTGTCCAGCGTCTATGTCAGTTTGGTCCCGCTACCCAAAAAATGTGTAGATCCGAAATAGTACAAATAATGAAGCGAAAAATTCAGACCCTTTTGGATGAAGAAATGTGTATAAATACATAAATCTGCCAGCTTATCTACACACGCAATGACTCCTACCAGCAGTTTCAATGCATTTCTCTGTAAACTACCTAACCATACATACAGGTCATCTATGCATCGAATAATATCAGATAGCCTTATTCTCATCTTGATGCAAAAATTGAAAGTGACTACGCATGTTGCGTGCTCAAGTATAGGGCCTAGGACTTAGCAAATAAGAACCCCCGACGGGGATCAACCTTTACGAATACACGCACACACACACACACACGCATACACGCATACACAATAGCACTTGATGTTGTAGTCCTAGCCGCCGTGGCTGCTGGCTGACATGCCGTGGCCGACACTCATGTCAAGAGCTTTCATTCAGTTGACCCAGGATACTGTTTCTTACGTGTCGGAACCTGTTAAGCAGCAGGATAACTTGACTAGACAAGTAAATTAATCCAGGCCCGACTCTCCTAGCCTACAATTTCCCTTCGTCTCCCTTCAACTCACCCCAACTCACCTCGCCCCACCTCAACCTGTCTACGGTTGAGGGCTATGCACATGCACAGACTTAGGGCTCCCTCGGCCACTCATCAGTATGACTCAATTGTCGACGCCAAGATTACCCTGACACCTAATCCTGGAGCGCCATTTCCCGGCCAACTGAGAGAGCCGCTGGTAACTCAGGCTTTTACGCTGATTGTTCTCCCACTCATATGATGATTCACGTCCAACTCAGCTAAACATGTATAATCACACACGATGTGCAAATGGTGTGTGGATTAGGGCCAAAACATGCAAACTTGCAAGCAAACAGGCACGCTTGCAATGTCGCTTTGACTAAGTATCATTTTGGACAGCCCGTTCAACTATCTGTCGTTCGTTTCGACGAAGCAGAAGCCGCTGCTCTCCAGTCTTTAGCCAGAATGCCTGGAAACGAGCGTCCGAGCCCAAGCATGTGTATCTTAGTGTGGTCCTAAGACCAGGAAGCAGGGCACTCGGCCTCTGGGCTCGAGCAAGCTCAAGCAAGTCACTTTGGTTTCCTACCTCAAATTTCTCGGAATGCCCACAGCCCATATGTTTGCTCGTGTGCCCCAGGTTCGCCTTTCATCTATGCTACCTTTGATTCATATACTTAGGCCTCCCTTTTCTCCGGTCCCCTCTCTCCGCCTTCTTTCGTACACACTTTCAACTGCTCCTTCTCCTTGGCCCTTTTTCAATTCTCAGCTTGACTGACCACGTGGCTGAGTGGGCCTTCAGACCACCTTCCATTTTTCCTCAGCAAAAGGATATAAATGGCAGAGTTGGTATGAAGGAGATTACCCATCTGTGAGAGGCCCATGGGGAGGGAGAGGTCCCGTTAACTCGAGGAGTGAGAGACGGAAGAGAGAGACTTTAATGAGACGATTGAGTCTTTCATTTAGCTTAGCCTGGGCAGATGGCAGATAATACGGGTAAATAAGCGGGTATGAGAGTTTTCGGTAGGCATTCAACTATTCACATGACGTGACTTGCCGGGAACTCAACTCGGCCAAGCACCGGCAGATTGGAAGAGGGTGAAATAATGGTCGAGTCCATGCTGGAGTTAGTCGCTTTGTCAAATGAGGATGTTGGCAACAGGCTAGCTGAGGTGACACAAGCCGAAAACTTGAATCTTTCATTAGTGAAAAATGGGAGATGTGAGCATCTGTAGGAGGGTTGAAGTATGATAAAAAAGAATGTCTATTACTGAAGTTTGGTGTATTATCGTGCCATTAAAAATAACAAATAGAGATGTGCACAATCACGAATAAGGTTGGTGTCGTTTGGCTGAAAAATCGTGTTTAGATATGCCAACATGCGCGTTGCTTGGGGCGGAAAGCAAATTAGGAAATCGTTTATAACCCGAGTTGAATAACATAAAATAATATGCTTGCGATCACTTAAGTGCACGTTGGTGAAAAAGTTGGAAGAGGTGATTCAAATAAAATCCAAAGTACTCGTAAATATGGGAAAATATTTCAGCAATTTCTCAACTGATAGCTAATTTAATTAGCCGAGTTAACTGTCAATCTACATACAGACTCTCCAAATACCCAAGTGAGGAAGCCAGATGACAAGAAACCTACATAAAATCAAACTAATTAATTAACAACTTGGCTAGTAATCCAAATACCTAATTGCATACCTACCGAGCTAACTAACAATCTATCTAACAACCTATCTATCTATACTTGACTAACGACTATGGAAGAATATTCTTTGCGGCCAAAGAACTGATTAATTCTTGTTGTTAAAACATGTTTTTAAGCATATAACTTTTATAGAAGTTGTTTGACCTTGTTTTCGCAACATGGTCATATTGGTAAGAGGATTTAGAGGAACGCAACTAGTCCGGAATCCATTGTCTGCATGATCATTTCCAAAGTTGGAACGTGGATGTAGTACATTCCCAAACGTTTCGCCGGCATCGTAGTCGGCATCGTCAGTGAGTATTGCCATTCTTAGCACCATATTACAACTC